CCCCCCCCCGAATATAAGCCCACCCGAATATAAGCCCCCCAAATATAAGTCCCCCGAATATAAGCTCAGTAGCCCACTACCTTATTCAACATTGACATCGTCTTTTAATATAGCAGAGAACGATATTTAAAAACATTGTCATTGTCTTTATAGCCGACTATGTTAATCAAAGCGCGTTATTAATACATGTTTATTTTCCTGTTTATGACTAACTTGTTTATGTCTGACTAGTTTATTACTAACACAAAAGATCGTCCATGTATTAGCCCCCCGTATATAAGCCCCCACCCCCCTTGTATAAGCCCATCAAAAATCGCTTACGAAAGTATATAAGCCTAGGGCTTATAGTCGGAGGTTTACGGTATATCAAGATATGATGATCTGGAAACTAACAGAAGTCATTGTGTTATGTATTTGTCTGAGTTTATGTTAATTTGTGCATGGTCACGGTGATTGAGCTCATTGTATTTTCGTATAATGAAGTAACCATCCAATAGGGATAGCTGAGATGAAACGTGCAACCACGATGATTAATATTTAATCAAGTTGAGACAAAGGATTTGTGCACGGTGAGGCACAGTTCAACATCAAACAAAGCTCTTCTATTTTGAAGTTTGCCAGGCTTCCAGACCATCATATCTTGACAGGTTACGGTGTTTTTAACAAACTTTAATCTGCTATGACGTTACTTTTTCCGACATCGTTGCAGTATATGTAAAGTTGGTTCATATTACCACCACTTAATCTTTGTTCTCTTTCTTTTCTATTCCCAGGCGTCACATTTGTACCCAAAGGTCCAGGCGAGCATTTGATCCATATCAAGAAGTCTGGAAAGGAGATACCAGAAAGTCCCGTATCTGTCATGATCGAACCCGCTGAACCAGAGAACGCGGTCGGCAGTCCTTGCGATGTTCCTTTGGACATCCCAGACCTAAACCTCCCAGAGGATTTGCCTAAACTAACGGCCACACTGAAGAGACCTGGATCGAATGTGGAAGAACCTGTAGAGCCTAAGGTGACATCAGATGGAAACCTCAGTGTATCATTCGTTCCCAAATCCCCTGGCGAACACTTGATCACGATCAAGAAACGTAACCGCCCGGTACCTGGTAGTCCATTCTCCGTCATGATCACGGCTCCCGAGCCCAAATGCGAGATCGGTAAACCTAGCAACGTTCCACTTGAAAATATTCCAGCGAAAGATCTTCCGAAACTTGACGCAGGATTACTCCGACCAAGATCCACAGTTGAGGAACCTGTGCCTATCAAAAAGACATCAGACGATAATCTTTATATACTTTTCATTCCACATGAAGAAGGACCACATAAAATCAATGTGCGCAAAGATGGCAAACCTGTTCCAGACAGTCCCTACGTTGTTGACGTACTTCCCAAAGTTGAGGAACAACCTGTAGAAGAGGTGTACCCGATGAACAGACCGTGCGATGTTGGTATGGACATTCCTAGTGTGAACCTCCCAGATGACTTCAAGAAACTAACAGGAACCCTTGAAAGACCCGGGAGCAAGAAGGAAGAACCTGTCACCTTGGAACTCAATCCTGATAATACACTTGGTAGGTAGACTCTTGTTTTCGTGTTTTATATGTAGGTATCGCTGTCATCTTGGTTATATACTATTTAGAACACGAGCACGAGTCTTGGTTATGTACTATTTAAAACACGAGCACGAGTGCTTTCTCAGATATAAAGCACGAGAGTAGTCGAGCGGTAGACTCTTGTTTTCAAGTTTTATGTAGGTATCGCTTTCATGTTTGTTATGTACTGTTTAATAAACTGCAAATTCAGTTAATCTTTTCAATGGTTTAGAATGGCTACCAATTGACGATATTATTAAAACTAATAAACTTCTTATGCTCTATAAGATAAGTCGTGGCATTTGTCCACAATACTTTGAATCCTATTTCACCTATGTAAATACAGTTCATAAATATAGCACTAGATCAGCTAATAATAAATTAAATATTATTACACCAAAATGTAAAAATAATTCTGGCCTTGGAACTTTCCACTCGAGTCTAGTGCATGTCGTCAGTGGAACAAGACAGACTTGTCAATTAAGAACATTGCCTCTTATGCAAATTTTAGAAAAGTAATACACTCTAGCTTTCAGGAACAATATTGTTCAATTGAACACTTCTGCATGGAAAAGACTTGTTAGAAAATTTAGCATTTGTACAAAATTTTGTAGATTTATTTATGGCATAGCTTAGCGAGGGCCGTCATGAAAACTACTGGGTAACCAGTAATGGTGTTTTTACCCTCAGTAAATAAAGTATTTTGACTTTGACTTTGAGTGTTTTGTTTGGTTTAGCGCGAATGGCTTTAGACCTAATAAAACACATCCGAGTTTATTAAACGGCTTCAAACACGACTACAAATTCAATAGATATACTCCCTTATTAGTATTCTTAATACACAACTACAATAGATACTGCCTTATTAGAATTCTTTATATAAAGAATACTAATTAGGAGTGTTTTATCAGGTTTACCCCAATAAGCTTATGAATTATTAATGAGTGTTTGAAACAAAGTTTTATCTTCTATGACGTTACTTCTTCCGAAATCGTTGCAGTATATATAAAGTTGATTTATATTATCACTTCTCAAATTCATTAATAATTCATGAGTAATTCAGCCAATGATAATCACCTATTTGATCACAAGATGCCATTTGGATACTTGATGAAAGTCACTAGTGTTTTCATCAAATATCTTAATTACGCATGCAAAATTACTTGAATAGAATTCCTAATCACGTTATGCTTGGTTAAGAATTCTATTCAAATCAGCAAACGAAAACATTCTGTTACGTCTCGATTCATTTGAGAAGCCATATAAACAACTCGAGCTCGTGTCTCACCGGGATATCCAAACACTCGAAAACAATGTATGAAAACACTCGCGCTTCGCGCTCGTGTTCTCATACATTGTTTTCTCGTGTTTGGATATCCCGGTGAAACACTCTCTCTCGTTGTTCATATATTACGTCTTAATTTTTGCTTTTTTCTTTCTTTCTTTTCCCAGGCGTCACATTTGTACCCAAAGGACCAGGCGAGCATTTGATCCATATCAAGAAGTCTGGAAAGGAGATACCAGAAAGTCCCGTATCTGTCATGATCGAACCCGCTGAACCAGAGAACGCGGTCGGCAGTCCTTGCGATGTTCCTTTGGACATCCCAGACCTAAACCTCCCAGAGGATCTACCTAAACTAACGGCCACACTGAAGAGACCTGGATCGAATGTGGAAGAACCTGTAGAGCCTAAGGTAACATCAGATGGAAACCTCAGTGTATCATTCGTTCCCAAATCCCCTGGCGAACACTTGATCACGATCAAGAAACGTAACCGCCCGGTACCTGGTAGTCCATTCTCTGTCATGATCACGGCTCCCGAGCCCAAATGCGAGATTGGTAAACCTAGCAACGTTCCACTTGAAAATATTCCAGCGAAAGATCTTCCGAAACTTGACGCAGGATTACTACGACCAAGATCCACAGTTGAGGAACCTGTGCCAATCAAAAAGACATCAGACGATAATCTTTATATACCTTTCATTCCACATGAAGAAGGACCACATAAAATCAATGTGCGCAAAGATGGCAAACCTGTTCCAGACAGTCCTTACATTATTGACGTATCATCCAAGGACGTCGAAGGCGCACAGCCTGTGGAAGAAGTGCATCCCGTGGGTAAAGCATGCGATGTTGGTCTTGATATTCCCGGGGTAAATCTACCAGATGACTTCAAGAAGTTAACAGCCACTTTACAAAGGCCAAACAGCACGAAAGAAGAGCCGGTGAATTTGGAATTGAATCCAGACAATACTTTGGGTAAGATTTTGCAACAGGTAGACATCCTTCCCAATCTGGGTGTCCGCTTTAGTTTGCCTCATTTTTTTCAATACATAAATCTGGAAAAAGGTAGGTTTTATCATTGGACGAAATGCAAAATTTCAACTTGTCCCAGGTGCAAGTTGGCCATTTCACGTGATGTTGTGTTTGAACTTATTTCGATTTTTAACTTTATGCATTTTTTGTTTGAATATAAATGCGAAATGCATAATGACAAATAGTGATAAAAGCTGTTAACATCACATGGAATGGGCAGTATGCATACGAAAATGAGCTTGTTTACTATGTTGTCAATATGGCGGAAACAAAGCGGTAGATTTTTAACCGATCATTCCAGCACCCATCACCTCAATTTACACTCAATATCCCTGCAAGATACCAAGTTTTATGGCCAATCACACCGTCTGCATTCACCCTGGAATACTACCATTCGTACCAAATTATCCCCTACTCCACCGTATGTTAAGCACCATTCCTGATTACCACCTAACCTCACCATGTACTAATTACCTCCCTACTTCACCATGTACTAATTACCACCCTAATTATCCCAATTAATTCTCGATTGCCACCATTCGTACCTAATTATCCCAGCGTCTACGAGATATGATCCTACGTATACCAATGCATTCTAAATATGAACATTTTTACCTAAATATTCCCATAGACCTCACCCTGTAATAAATACCACCCTAAGTATCCCAATTCGTACCAAAATACCACTATACCTAATTACCTCACCATGTGCCACAATGTCACCCTAATTGTACCAAACCATGCCCAGTGCCACCATTCATACCTAATTATCCCCACCATGTCCCATGATATCACCCTAACTGTACCATGCATACCCAAATACCGTCATTCATACCTAATTACCCTGTATTACCTCACCCAGGAGTTTCATTCCTTCCCGTGGAACCTGGCGAGTATTTGATCCGAATCAGACAGTTCGGGAAAAACTTGCTTGACTCGCCCATATCAGTCGTGGTTGAAACCGCTGAACCAGAGAACACGGTCGGCAGTCCATGCGATTTCCCATTGCAAGTTCCCGGCCTCAATCTTCCCGACGACTTGCCCAGACTAACCCTGACAATGAAACGACCCGGATCAACCCGCGAGGAACCGATCAAACCTAAGTTGCTATCCGATAACACCCTCAGTGTGTCATTCGTTCCCAAATCCCCAGGCGAATACTTGATCACGGTCAAGAAACGTAACCGCCCGGTTACCGGCAGTCCGTTCTCTGTCATGGTTACTTCCGATGAGCCCACAAGCGAGGTCGGTAAACCGTCCAGCGTTCCGCTTGAAAATATTCCGGCGAAAGATCTTTCGAAACTTGACGCAGGTTTGCTTCGACCTGGTTCCACAGTTGAGGAACCTGTGCCCATCAAAAAGACATCCGACGATAATCTTTATGTTCCTTTCATCCCACACGAAGAAGGCCCACATCAAATCAATATCCGCAAAGATGGCAAACCTGTTCCAGATGGCTCCTATACCCTCGATGTACCACCAAAAGATGTTGAAGATGGTCGCCGACCGGAGAAAGGTCCCCAACCGGGCAAAGATCCCCAACCGGGAAAAGGTCCCCAACCGGGAAAAGGTCCCCAACCGGGAAAAGGTCCCCAACCGGGCAAACCGGAGAAACGTCCTGTATCTGAGAAAACCCCTTCACCGGCGAAAAGTCCCTTACACGAGGAACATCCCCTACACGATAAAGATATCCCATCGGAAGAAAGTTTCCCACCTGTTGAAGAAGTTCACCCCGCAGGTAAACCGTGCGACATAGGTCTCGATGTTCCCGGAGTGAAATTACCAGAGGATGTTTCGAAATTGACAGCCACAATACAGAGGCCTGGTAGCAATAAGAAGGAACCTGTCACGCTCGAAGTTAAGCCTGATAACACACTTGGTAAGAACGAGTCAGTTTTCGTAATGTTACCAGTGTTCAAATGCATTCGCCTCGCTCTATTCCTCTTCTCATAAGAAAGTCTGGTAGTTTTGCGTAAAAATCATTTTATGGCTTAAAAATCACTGAATATGTTTTTTTTTGTAAACTGTTTTGATACAAGTATTAATGTAAAACGCGTTAGACCCAGCCATTTTTGCGCTTTTAAGCGTCAAATAAATAGATCAGAATTGCATGCAAAGCGAATTCAAAGGGTTATTTTTCGAAGTGAATCCTGCAAAGAGAGTCATAACGACTTAAAGTCTATCCTTGCTTATATACTTTCCTACCATACCCTGTTAGCTCGTTTTACCTATATGTGTACCACATTGTTTCTATTCACACCCTGTCATGACTATAGTTACCCTATCCTTCATTCATCGACGAATAATCTGCGAGAACATCTCCACCATTACCATGTTCCCATCTATCCTTTCCATTTTGTTACCATTTAACACCTGTTGTACCTAAATGTTCATACCTACCCCATTCCCACCCTGTTATCACTATAATTACCCTATCCTTCATTCATCGTCGAATGATTTGCGAGAACATCTCCACCATTACCATGTCCCCATATATCCTTTCCATTTTGTCCTCATCTAACACTTGTTGTACACAAATGGTCATACCTATCCTACTTTCCACCATAGTTTAACCCACTATGTACCCAAACGACCATATCTACCCCCAGCTATCCGACATTCCACCATGCCTACAGAATTCCATTGGCCATTCGTACCCCCCGAGTCCTTAAAATATTTAAAATATTACCCTTATAAACCCTTCCAAAACCTTACTAACCTGCATTATCCTTATAATTCCCTACCCAGGAGTTTCGTTCCTACCCACGGAACCTGGTGAATACACCATCCGGGTACAACAATTCGGCGTTGAAATCCCCGAGGGTACGAAGATCGTATCGGTGAAAACCATCGATATACCGAACAACACCGACAGCCCTTGCGAGATCACTATTGACAACCTCGGTCTAGTTCTACCAGATGATCTGCCCAAGCTTAAAGCGACGCTAAAAAGGCCTGGCTCGAGGCGAGAGGAGCCCGTCACCCTCAAGGTCCTGTCGGATCACACACTGAGTGTATCGTTTCTTGCCAAAACTCCCGGCGAGTATCTACTTACCATCATGAAACGCCATCGACCCATACCAGGTAGCCCATTTTCGATCACCGTTACCGGTGAAAAACCGAAAAATCCAGTTGGCAAACCGGTTTCCTTCGCTCTTGAATATATAGCTCTACGCGATGTACCCCATATACAAGTCTTCCTGCAGAGGCCTGGGTCCGATACCGAGGAGCCAATCACGTTGAAGAAACATTCTGATAGTAGTTTATCTGTTTCGTTCATCCCTCTGGCACCTGGCGTGCATAAAATACACGTACGGAAGGATTCGAGACCAATACCAAGCAGTCCGTTTGAAATCGAAGTCATTGATGACCGGGTTTTCGGCACCCCGGAGAAAGTACCCCACGGTAAAAAGCCCTCCGATAAAGTGCCCAACGGAGAAGTTCGCAGGGAGGAAACCATGTTCACAAAAGAAATTGCTCCGACAGATGAAAAACCTCCGGTTGGCCGAATATGTGACTTTAACATGGACATACCAGGCTTCTCTCTGCCGCGCGATTTCCGAAAGTTGTCCGCAACACTTCGGAGGCCGAGCAGCAAACGGGAAGAGCCGATCAATTTGGAACTTAATCCTGATAAAACTTTGGGTAAGATTTTGACCTGTGTGGTGAGTATGATGAGATGTGACTCATGTCGAATGTGTTTGCATAACCTAGACTCATTGTTTTTGGTTTTATGACGATTTAAACCTCCTACATCCATGCTTTTAGGCTACGAGGCAGTTTCGATTCAATATGGCGATTATTTGTTTCTCGAGCTCAATTTATTTTATATAACTTTTTTCTATAATGTGGTTTGCGAAAGCGCACTTGCTAATTTTAAATATGTTACATCTGCGCAGAAATCGTTGTTCATTATTCAAAGCAGTAGTCGACGATCAAATTGAACTCTCCTACCGACAAAACACTACATTGTACTGCACTGGTGCTGTTTCCAGTAAGCCTTAAAGGGCAGTAGATGGTAGACTTGTTACTGATCTGCAAACAAGTTGTAACAAGGTTGTTGTCAAGCCGATATCAGGATGTGTTCGCACTGCTTGTTCTCAGTTGTTGTGACAAGTCTGGATCACTTTGTCACAAGGTTGATGACGGTAACAGACTTGCTACAATTGTTGTTCCAACAAGACGAATACAGGCTGTTCATAACAAGTTGCTACGAGCTTGTTGTCATCAACTTGCTAACAACTTGTTACGTGCAGACGATATCAGATTTGTTGGAAAAACTTGTTGCGAGTCTGTTGGCCTCATCAACCTTGTTACAAGTTAATAACAAGTTGTTCCAGACTTGTCAACAACTGGGAACAAGCAGTGTGAACACATCTAGTTGACAAGATGTGAGATATTTACGCATGTACAAGGCTCCTATATATAATTGAAAGAATTAATTCTATTGCAGTTGACTACTATTTGCTGTACGTTAATGTCTAGTTAACACACAAATTACCTCGTTTCTATTATGGGGTGATGTTTCGGATTTCAGCGGTGTATTCGAAAACAAACGGTTTATTTTTTGCAAAAACCATCGGAAACAATCAATATATTCCCAACTTTATTGAAAACTTCTATTCAAATTTTCTCAGGTATCTCGTTTGTGCCGATGGAACCAGGCGAACATCTGGTCCGCGTGAAGAAATCTGGGGAGGACGTTCCCGGCAGTCCGTTCGCCGTCATGGTGGAAGCCGCTGAAGCAGTGAACGCGGTCGGCAGACCATGTGATTGCCACCTGGACATCCCTGGCCTGAATCTGCCCTCAGACCTGACCAAGATCAAGTCGACCCTGAAACGGCCCGACTCCGATACAGAAGAACCGATTAAACTGAAAGTTCTCTCCGACAACACGCTCAGCGCGTCGTTCGTTCCACGATCGCCGGGAGAACATCTGATAAGTGTCAGGAAATTCAACCGACATCTCAGTGGCAGCCCATTCAGGTAACACTAACAGTAACAGTAATAGTAATAGTAACAGTAACAGTAACAGTAACAGTAACAAATGGCTTTATTAGCATGACTTTACATACAAGTATTGCTAAAGCTTATTAGTTAGTATAATTAGAAATATTTGCAAATGCAAAATGTTTCCGGCAGTATGACACATCCACTGTCAGTATCGAGTAATACAAGAAATAAAAATGAAGTTATTGATATAAAGAAAGACCTAGTTTACAAATGAGTACTCTATTTACAGTATATAATTGAAGAAGTTTGGATGTTAGATAGCCTATTGACTGTCAGCATTCCGAGCTTCAAGGCATTTAGATCTCTTCTCAAAACATAAAGAGATCAATTTCGATAATTTTACCACGGTCTCTTTATCAGTTGATTTCATTATCTCAACTGGTGAACTGTGTTGGTTTAAATCTGTTTCATTGGTGGGAACAATTTCCAAGTTAATTAAAAAGTTTTCTCGAAGACTACTATAGGCTTCACAGGAAGTAAGGAATATTAGTTAAATATTGTCAATTTAAATACAATTATCATTGATGCTATAGAATTGACGCCATATTTTTACAGCAATATAATATAAGGAAAACTTACTGAACTTCAGACATCATTTTCTCTTCGGCGTACCATCTAAAATCTCTTCATTTTAGCATTATTTATAAGTAATAGCATGGCTTGAGGGAGATTAGTGATTAAATGGCCCCGTAACCCGAGGCAGGTTTGCGGAATTCCCGAGGGCGAAGCCCGAGGGAATTCGGCAAACCTGCCGAGGGTAAGGGGTCATTTAATCACTAATCTCCCGAAAAGCCATGCTATTAGTTTGTAATAGCATAGTTGCACTCCCATTTAAAAATGGACAAACATGGCTTACTTGGAATCAGCGTATTTAAGCTAAAACATTTGCTTCATTGCTTGTGGGATGTAAAAGCTTGTTGCACATGCGCACTTTTTACGCTTTAATCGGTTACGCATGCGCAATCTATCATTTAACGTACCACAACAAACACGCTAAATATATTAGTATAAATTTGGAGACTGCACGTGCGTAATTTAAATGATGCGGCAACTCAGGGATCGGATGATAGACTATTGACGGCTCTGAGCTAACTGTTGCTGTTCCTTGCACGATTATGTGCGTGAGGCACTTGCCTAATGCGTAGTCGTCAGGGAGACAAAGGTGTGACCCTTGGTAACGGGCGATTAGTTCTAATCGCCCGCTCTAGCGGGCGATTAGAACTAATCGCCCGCTACAGCGGGCGATACGTGATTAAACGTCCCTGTTGAAACAAAAGAAACCCGGGCAACTATGCTATTATTTACAGATAAAGCACTGAACATACTTCTTAAGTTTGTTTGCAGCTTAAGAAACGTATAAAAATTTACAAAAATTGAACATATTCGTTGAGCTTGTGGTTAGAGCTCGACAACTGGCCTCTGTAGCTCAGTTGGGTTAGAAGTCCCTTAATAAAACCCGACTATCATCTTGTCCTTTTAGTGACCTACAAGACCCTTAGTAAAACGTGACTATCATCTTGTCCTTTTAGTGTTATGGTGAGCGCTCCTGAAGCAGCCAGCCAATCCGTTGGTCGACCGTGTGGACTGGGACTGGAAATCCCCGGCCTCAAACTGCCCGAAGATTTCGACCTTCTCACGGCTATACTCAAACGACCAGCCAGTGCAGCGGAGGAACCCCTGAAGTTAGTCCTGAACTCTGATAACACCCTAAGTGTCTCGTTCATCCCCAAAGAGACCGGAGAACATCTGATTAGTGTATTCAAGAACAAACGTCACGTGACAGGAAGCCCGTTCTCTGTGATGGTCAGCGGTCCGGGACCGGCTGATCCTTCGAAGGTGAAAGCATATGGACCAGGTTAGTAGCGAGTTTGCGCATCTAAGACAACAACGTCAGGACGACGGCTATTAAAAATACAATGGCATTAATGCTATCGCACAAATGAAGCAAATAATGAAAAGTATAGCAGAGGTTTTAGACGTCATCCAAGCTCTGCTGAGAATGGCAAAATGTATTTTCACGTCTTGGTTTGTATGTTAGCATTTCAAGCCATGACGGGTAGTTTTTCTTGTAGCAGAGTTGATCAAAATTACTCTGAAGGTTATGCAGATCTTGTGCTACTCGTTCGAAACTGTATTTTTAAAATTCATGCGAAAGTTAATACAAGATTTTACAACAGTAAAGACAAGATTTTCATACAATCACTTATTTCAAGATTTTACAACAGTAAAGACAAGATTTTCATACAATCATTTCAAACAGTTTGCTTGGCCGTCGTCCTGATGACACCAATACCTCACATATTGGGGAAAAATTATTTACAGAGAAGTTTGTAATTCTCGCCAATTGGTTGATTAAAGACGGGGTCAAGTCTGCTCTGTGCATGGCTATGTGTGAGGACCCTCTAATACAAACAATACCCAAATTTCACGCTGTTTCGACATCTTCCAAATTGAAACTCTAATCTATGTACTATTTAAAGCATAGCAAACTAGAACGTTGTTAGATATTAACTAAGTACATCATATTTTCTGAATACAGTATACAGTGTGCTCAAAATGTAAATAAACCTCGCTCTTGACCCCATCATTAATTTACGCTTCATGAAATTGAATCTATTTTCTTCTGAAGGTTTGGAATCTGGTGTTGTCGACGAGAGATCGGAATTCACCGTGAATACCCGTGATGCGGGCTATGGGGGTCTGGGACTCTCAATCGAAGGACCATCTAAAGCCGAGATCAACTGTGTGGACAACGAAGATGGCACGTGCACCGTGGACTTTGTACCCTCCGAACCGGGCGACTACACGATCCACGTCCGCTTTGCCGATGAAGAAATTCCCGGCAGTCCGTTCACTTGCAACGTTGCTCCGAAAGGCGGGAAGAGACGGCCAATCGTTGAAGAAGGAATATCCAGAGGTGTCGTTGAAGACGTCGAGAATGCGCCTGCGCAGAGGACCTCTCAACTTCTGGACGATCTTATATCATTTAGTCCACAACAGCCCCACGACTTCGCATTGGACCTGGCGGGATATGATCTGAAAAATTTGAAAGCCAGTGTGGAAACACCTTCTGGAAAGACGGAACCGGCCGAGATTGTGGAAAGCACCAAGGATACGTATACCATTCGATTTGTAACGAAAGAA